TTAGAACTGGACATGGAACAACAGACTGGTTCCAAATAGGAAAAGGAGTACGTCAAGGCTGTATATTGTCACCCTGCTTATTTAACTTATATGCAGAGTACATCATGAGAAACGCTGGGCTGGAAGAAGCACAAGCTGGAATCAAGATTGCTGGGAGAAATATCAATAACCTCAGATATGCAGATGACACCACCCTTATAGCAGAAAGTGAAGAGAAACTGAAGAGCCTCTTGATGAAAGTGGAAGAGGAGAGTGAAAAAGTTGGCTTAAAGCTCAATATTCAGAACACTAAGATCATGGCATCTGGTCCCATCACTTCATGGCAAATAAGATGGGGAAATAGTGTCCGACTTTATTTTTTGGGGGCTCCAAAATCACTGCAGATGGTGATTGCAGCCATGAAATTAAGACACTCCTTGGAAGAAAAGTTATGACCAACCTAGACAGCATATTAAAAAGCAGACACGTTGCCAACAAAGGTCCATCTAGTCAAGGCTATGGTTTTTCCAGTAGTCACGTGTGGATGTGAGAGTTGGACTATAAAGAAAGCTGAGTGCTGAAGAATTGATGCTTTTGAAATGTGATGTTAGAGAAGACTCTTGAGAGTTCCTTGGACTGCAAGGAGATCCAACCAGTCCATCCTAAAGGAGATCAGTCCCGGGTGTTCATTGGAAGGACTGATGTTGAAGCTGAAACTCCAGTACTCTGGCCACCTGATGTGAAGAGCTGACTCATTTGTAAAGACCCTGATGCTGGGAAAGATTGAGGGCAGGATGAGAAGGGGACGACAGAGGATGAGATGGCATCACTGACTCAATGAACATGGGTTTGGGTGAACTCTGGGAGTTGGTGGACAGGGAGGCCTGGCGTGCTATGGTTCCCTCACATGAGACTGTAAGGGAAATTGGGATGTACTTAACTTGGGTGTGGTGATTATTTCAGAGTGTATACACATGATCAGATTATCATGCTGTACAGTATTTATATACATACAACATTGGTCAGTGATTCCTCAGTAAAGCTGGAGGAAGAAAAAAAGAGAAAAGGGCTTAAAGGCCAGAAAAACCTAATTGTAGAAAATAGGAGGAAATGGATAAATATACAGATTGATAGTTGAAAAGAAATCTGAATGTTGCTTGCAACCCCAGAAGACTTCCATATGGAGCTACAGTGCAGTGCATGTTAGAAAACCTTTAAGTGAAAATGAAACCATCTATATAATTACCGCATGAGTTCAATTATTATTCCCCCCCCCTTTTTAGTATCTAATGCTGTAGTTTGGGTCATATTGTTATAGTATGTCTTATAGTTTGGTATGTTTTTATCATATATGGAAAACACTGATGTGGAAATGCGGAAACAAAGACATTGAGGAAGGGTTAATGGACTACTGCTTTGGATGTCATTTATAACCAATAATGAGTTTACCATTTTTAAGAGCATTAAAAGTTGCATCATCTTAGTTCAGGCCACCAAAACAAAAGTTTTGGTGAAGTAGCAAAAACACTGTTGGAACCTGTGATGCCTCCTGATAGTATTGGCTTGAATATAAAATGTAGAGATAAAGATTAAGAATGATGGCAACAAGAAAGTTGCCCTGGTGTGGATCTACATCAGGTTGACAAGTGCTTTGTTGTTTTGAAACTTACAGCGGGGTTTTATGTAAGGTCAGCCTGATAAGTGGCTCTCAGATGTTCTCTTCTGATGTGTTCTGATTAAGTTTGAAGTGACAATTTTTCATAGCCCCTCTCAAAGCCTGTGACAGCCAACTTCTGTCCTCCTTGCAGGATAGAGGTCCCTCGGTCAAGGCCAACCCTTCAGGATGATCTTCCTTTCCTTGAGAAGCCCCACAGCAGGCAGCTGTCCTTACCCACCCTGTCTCCAGAAGAGCCTCCGGTGCAGACCTCGACACTGGCCAGTGAGGAAGCACTGCAGAAGATCTGTGCCCTTGAAAGTGAGCTTGCTGCCCTCAGAGCTCAGATTGCCAAGATCGTGACCCTCCAGGAACAGCAGAACCTCAGTGCAGGTCTGTGAGTCCTCTAGTTGTCAGTCAGCAAATGGGGGTGGGGGGTGGGGGGGAAATGCCACTCACTTAGGAAACAAATTATATGTATATATATACAGTATATATATTTGTGGGCTCCATCTCTTCAGTCGTGTCTGACTCTTTGCAACCCTATGGACGGTAGCCCTCTAGGTTCCTCTCTATCCATGGGATTAGCTACACAGGAATACTGGAGTGGGTTACCATGTCCTCTTCCAGGGGATCTTCTCAACCCAGGAATCGAACCCATGTCTCCTGCACTGCAGGCGGATTCTTTACCTACTAGCCACCTGCAATATAACTGAATCAGTATGCTGTACACTGGGAACTAACACATTATAAATCAACTGTATTACAATAAAATTTTTAAAAGAAGCTAATTAGTGAGTAACAGCTGTTGGGCTTGCTAGAAAACTAGCAGACTGTCCCCTGCATGGCCCAGTACAGGACCCAGGCAAGTTTAAATGGTTTTCATTTGTTTTGAACAGTCTTAATGCTATCAGAGGATGATGAGTGTATTTTGGAAACACAAAATATACATCCACTGATAAAGGTGAACACTGCTCATGTGTCTGCTGTAGGAACTCCACTGTCTGTGATAATGGCACCATTCACATCAGACTGGAGGAGGTAACTGCAGAACAGCCCTGACAGGGCTGAATGTGTTTACTTACCTTCGTGTCCTGAGGCGAGCATAAGGCCTCGCTTTCCTGCTCTATAACTGGGACAGTCGTTACTTATGTTGTGGAGTTACTGTGGGAGTAAATGTGGAAACTATATATAGTATCTTTAGTGCCAAGCAGCTGTTTAATACTCATTTCTCTCCCTCTCACAAGAGTAGAAACTGAAGTCAAGGCCTCTGACTCTGGCCTCATACTGTTGCTTTTATTGGTATGGCGGTGTCACTTTAGAGAAGAAACCACAGCCTTGAAACCCTAGCTTATTAAGCTGCTGGCAAGCAATAGTCGTTTTTTCTAGTGTTCCTGAGTCTTGACAAGAGGCAGTATAAGCCAGCTCTAAAGGGTAAAGGATAGTTATTCCACCTCTCAGTCACTCAGCTTGTGGTCCTGTAGTTTAATGTGACCCACACGGAAACCTCCTCAAACCTGGGTCAGGCCACGATGGGCAGGGTGAATGTACTCCAGGCACCTGCTGTTACTTCCCTTAGATGGCAGGTGACTTGAAAACCCAAAGTCCTGCCCTTTTCTGTTTAACCCGTAAGTTACTTCTCTCTGGCTTTCCCTCCCCCTTCTGGCAGACTAGGAAAACTGCTGTAAATTGTGAGATCATCTGGGGATTTCTGTTAGGTGTTCTGTGTACATCCCAACTCCCTTGAATAAACTAATCAATATAGTTCACGCCCAAACAACTCTCTAATCTCCAGTTATGCAGAAAGATGAGATTTTTAGGTCCTTATTTTAGAACCGCTTTAACTCTTAGTTACTTATTCTTTTGGGGAATTAACTATAATTTTTTCCTCAGTTTTTTTCAATAAATCTAAAACTTTTCTTTTAAACAAACACATTGTGGTCAATTTACATTCTCTAGTTCATGCTTATCTTCTATGTAAATATACTTAAAATGAACCACAGAGGTATCTGATAGTTATTTACTCTAGTACTAAACTGTCAGACTACCTACTGGAGGTAGTTCTGTGTGCAGTCCAGATGCTGTTTCATCTAGAAGTAGCTGCACAGTGTGAAGCAGTGAGACCTGAACGTTTGATATCACAAAAGCACCCTGTAAAGTTAAATGGAACATTTCCATCTGGAGACTGTGAGATTAAATGATACCATGACTGAAATTCAGGCATTCAGATTCCAAGCAAGCAACTGAAACTTCCTTTTTACTTGTGACTGAGATTCTTTTTAATGTTACTGCTTTCAGGTATAAAGTCCTTAACATAACTCTACTTTAAAATATTTTATTTGCCTCTTACCACCAGGATTAAATTGCTTTTCCCTCATTTCTGTAGGTGACTTGGAATCCACCAGGCCCGCCGCCACAGCACCACCCTCAGTCCCGCCAGCGCCCCCGCTGCCGCCCCCGCCGCCTCCCCTCCCACCCCCGGGGCTCCTGCAGAGCACTTCTGCTATTGATCTGATAAAAGAGCGGAGAGAGAAAAACGCCTCTGCTGGGAGGACCCCGGTCAAGAGCAGTCCAAAGAAAACCGACCTGCCCAACATGCTGGAGATCCTGAAAGACATGAACAGCGTGAAACTGCGCTCAGTAAAAAGGTGAGGAGACGTCTGCCTTCTCTCCCACTTCCCTTGGTTTCTTAGCCTTTTATAAGCAACTTACTAAGCTGCTTTGGAGGAGGAAGTGGCAACCTACTCCGGTGTTCTTGCCCGGAAGGCTATAGACCACACGGTCACAGAGTCAGACACGACTGAGCACACACACATACACTAAGCTTCTTGAGAACCTTGTTTTATAACATGACTACTGGAATAGCTCCTAAGTTTTTAGTTTAAAAAAGATAAGCTCCCGGGGGCCCCTGCATGCAGTTAACTGAGAGATTAGCCCCTGAAGCCCTGTTCCTGTGTGGTCCTTCCCTCGGGCTGTGTGTGTGCCTGCTAGGGTAGGGGCCAGGCTTGTGCCGGAGGGAACCCTGCCTGCCGTCTCTGCTCCTTAGACTAGGTACCTTTCTGCTGTTTTGTCAAGCCGTCAGTCTAGGGCTCCCACCTCGCTGCGTCAGCGTCCCTATCGGGTGTCTCTGCTGCTAGAGCTGTGCTGTCAGCACCGCAATGCCCCCTTGATTTCTCTGCGCTTCTCTAAGGTCAGAACAAGACACGAAGCCCAAGCCAGCAGATGCTGCTGACCCCGCTGCCCTCATAGCCGAGGCGCTGAAAAGGAAGTTTGCTTATCGGTATCGAAGCGATAGTCAAGGTGAAGCTGAAAAAGGAATCCCAAAGTCTGAATCAGAGGCCACCTCCGAGAGAGTGTTGGTGAGTACTGGGCAGCCTGTACTAGTGCAGCCTGTGGTTCGGTCGTCTGCAGGATGCACTGTAGGATTCAGTCCTTGCCGCCAGCTAGACTGCTTCCCTCCTGATGCTCTTCTGTAAGTAAACGCTAACCCTGGGTATCTCCCATGTTAAATTTTCCATGCTGTTTGTTTATATTTAAGCACAGTGAAGTGAAATTCATTACAATAAAATTTACATCTAAGGACAGTGTAAATGTGGTGGTGTAGAAAGGAAAGGTCATTCTCTTAGGGCACCTGTGAAGGGGAAAGAGATCTAACCAGGGCCTTGCAACCTGGGGACCCTGCAGAGGTGGAGACTGAGCAGACTTCATGGAAGCTCTTAAGTATCAATTTAGATCTTCCCTTTCCTCAAGTTTCTGTCACTGGGGAGATGTGTTTATCTATCCCAGAGAGGTAGATATCTTAGAAATTCTAGCATCTTTGAAACTCTAGACATTGAAGGGGAAACTCTGTATCTTCCTTCTTTTATTAAAAGAAGTAAAACTGGACTAAGCTACGGTCTTGCAATGATGACTACAGTTTGATAGGCAGTAATTTTGCTATCTTTCTCACTGCTGATATGAATTCATAGGTTGTTACAAACATAATGTAACAGTTTTAATATTATCAAGCTGCTTGGTTTTTCATGAACATACCTGGTAGTCCATGGTTGGCAGGGGGCTGCTATCATTGCTGTTACATGAACCTGTATCTTTTTTGTTTCTTTTCTAGTTTGGTCCACACATGTTGAAGTCTACTGGAAAAATGAAGGCTTTAATTGAAAATGCTTCAACTTCCTAATAGACAGACTATCTGAAGTTCAGCTGTTGGTTTATTAGGGCTGTTCGGCTAGTAGATATCAACACTGTTTGGTAAATACCTGAATTTAGTACTTATTAGTGGTCTCCTTTTAGGTCTCATTAGAGGATAATGCTATAACAAAAGCACTCTAAGTTTGTTTGCTTTTAAGAGAAGATCAGTTCTGAAGTTTTCCATAGCATATGTACATTCCAGCATGTTTTTAATGTGTAGCCAAGATGTTTAGGTTTCCAGTCTGGAAAACAATTACGTAGATTTCAGAACAAAGGAAGGACACTTGGTAGATGTGGTTTTTAATTAACACTAATTTATCTGTACACATATTTTATATGCATGTATTTGGATATACAACAGGACATAAGATTTAGCAATGGCAGTGACAAGGCTGCTGGTAATCATTCCTACCCAGTGATGGAGCAGCTGGTATATCCAAATTGTTGAAGTGAAATGTTCGAGTTTGGAATTTCTTCTTGCCTTGAACAGAACTTTTAGATTGTCTCTCACGTTTTCTTGGAGATGGGGTTTGATTAGGAACCAGATAATGTTCGCTGCTGAAATTCCGTAATACTTTCCTTTAAAGGGAAGTCAAGGATTATGAAAACTGTTTTCCACCTCAGTGCCATCCAGTTCTGAGGAAGAATGTAGTTTTCAATAGTGAGCAATCAAACTATTGAATTAAATCTGTTTTAAAGTAAAAACTAGAATGTACCATCTTTTTCTTTCAGTTTAATAAAATGGCATATCATAAAGATGACTTCTTGCTAAGTTAACACTTCTGGAAATGTCAGCATTAATGGAGTTAAAAATTTTTTCAAATACTGGTCAAAATAATAGCTTTATAATGAAACACTGAATAGGTGACAGAATTTCCTGTAAGCTGCTTATCATCCGTCATGCTGCTGAGCTCCAGCATGTACAGCATAACCCGTAGGTGCTGTCAGGAGGTGGAACCACCTTTCTCATCCAGGACTTCTAGGAAGTTGTCATTTCTAAATGCTTCATGTATCTTCTGTACTTCTGTTAAACTCGGCTTATAGTTATCCAGAATCTCCTACTATGATAGTAGGACTCATTATTTAAATATACTGGGAAAAAAGTTCCACTTCCCAGGGTGATTAGGAGATATGAAGACGATACATTCACTTTTAAGTTACTGAAACTATGTGCAATGTTCAAAATGATAGCAGCTAATACTAGTTGAGGTAATTTTCATGGTTTGGTTATTCAGCTTAAATTTGAACTGTGGCTTAATTTTACACATGTTGTTGACATACATTGTTTCTAATTGTTTTCTATGGTTTAAAAATTCTGCCTTTAAAATAAATTCAGGAAATTCACCTGATATACTTATTTTGACCTCCTGAGAAATATTTATATTTGTACCAATAATTGAATTTTTAGCCAGTGCTCCAAAATAAGGAAGTTACTGTTTTGAAATAAAGCAACTTTTCTTTTCCTTGGACCATCATGCCTATACAAATGCTTTTTTTTCCCCCCCACAGTAGGCAACATTCTTCTGTGTTGTACATGCAACTTTAGAATAATTTGCTTTCTGCATTTTCCAAGTGGAAATATACTGCTTAAAATGTGTCACCTTTTTCATTCATCTTCAGCATTAAAAGAGAAAGGCGTGTGAGTTTCTTCGGGGTTCTCGAGCCTAGAACCCACCTCTGGGACTCTTCTCCCCCCTCCCCAGACCATACTGCTATCTCTGCCTCAACAACAACAGAACTGACAAGACAACTCACCCAAGCGTGGGTAGGAACCCGGAACAGCTGGGAAAGGCTCAAACCTTTAGTTTCCGATTCCACATCTTGTGACCTCTGGTCAAACGCACGCTTCTTTCGTACTTAAAATCTGTAAAATGTAAATACAGGTACTGTATTTATACTGAAAGAAGTCCACGTATATGTGGACCCTTGCAGTTCAAACCCATGTTCAAGGGTCGACTATACATAATGTGAGTCAAAGAACACTGGACTTGGGAGTTAAAACACGACATGTATATGTGATCCTGGCCCAGGTACATCTGTTTTTAAAATGGGAATAATGCTCAGTTCAGGAAATTATGAGGATCAAAAGCAGCATTCTGAATACACTCTATGAATAGCAGAGTACTAAGTTCTTACAGTATTTTACACAAGGTTCCCAGCAGACAGTCTTCTCCTAGGAGACGAGGTCCCTGTGTGGAGGGGTAGGTCCTGGTTGTCTGCCAGTCGCAGGCCCTTCTGCAGAAGCAGCCTATCCTCTTGCTGTATGAATTCCTGTGAGTCTGCATCTTGGTGGGGAAGGAAGAAAACACGAGGTAACAACTAATGGAAACACTTAGCTGGAAAAATCATCCTCTAGTAACTTCTCTGAAAATAGAAGTTCTCTCTGTGGACTAGATCTGGCAGATAAAAGTTTAAACTTTCAGGTGTGAACCCCGCAGCAGCTCTGGGATCGCCAGGCTGCACTTGGTTTTAGCCAGTATCATTGTTACTGCCTGTTACTGTCAGTCTTCCCCATGACCTTCAGCCTCTCCTGAGTCCTCTCTCCGCTCCTCATCCTGGAGTCAGTATTCTGTGCTACTCCACTGAGCCTGTTTAACATCCTTTTTAGTTTTTCCTTATCAATCTTGTAAGCAGGCTAGTTCTTCATTGATACCAGAGCAATCACTTAAGGAAAAGAAATAAGAACAGCATACCTAAAAAAGATCCAGAAATCTTAGATGTTTCCCTCTGAGACTGCTGTCCTTCATCTGCTTTGTAAGGACTGGACACCTTACTGTTCCTCTGGCTGAAGCTTCTCAGACTTCTTTTCCCTGGGAGGTTCTCCAGCCTCTTTGAAAGGTCAGAGAGCTCCTTCCACAAAGCTGAGAGAGTAACACGGATGGCATTTAGATGTGATCAAGAAGGTGATTAAGATGATCCACATAGCGCCTCCCATTCCACCCCAAATAGCTGTGGCTGCTACAGGGCACTCCCGTCCCTCCCAACTGCTCTCTTCCAAGCTGGCAAAAGCCTTAATCTGGGGGAGAAAGACACCCTTCACAACAGCGATTTTACCAGAGGTATGAGGAGCCACCCCTCTTCATTGGCCAGCCACGCCTGCTATCAGAAGACGAGAGACGGTGAGAAGCAGGTGCGGCGGCACGTGGCTGCGTGGCCTGGCGTTCACAGTGAGGGTGGAGAGCACTCGAGAGCAGGCGGCCCTCTGCAAGGAGCACGCCTGCTGAGGCAGAGGCTGTTCTGTGGCCCAGGGTCAGCCTTCCTGAGTTGGTCCAGGTTATCCCTCGGGAATTTGAACAGGAAACCTGGAGAGAAAGGGGTGCATTCGGTACTCAGAGCTCAAGTAAGCAGGTCACAAGGAACAGCTATACCCACAAGCAGTTTATACAAAACACAATAAGGAAATGAAAAAGGAAAATGACTCAGCCTGAACTATGCACCAGTACATTTTTTAAGAGACACACATTTTACAGGTTAGAAAGACACTCAAAGGATGAGGTGACAGAAGACTAAACCTAGTCTACCTAGCCATAAAGACAATGCTTTAAAAATGTTTACCGCCTTTCCAAGCAGACACTCCAAGGTAGAGAAGAGGCTGGAAGAGAAGCAGGAGTGGCAAGAAACAGGTGCAGCAAAAAGCTACACTTAAGTGATTAGTCTGTCTCATGAAAACGGATCCTCAATATAAAGCTCCAGTTAACGCGCAGTGACCTGAGACCGTTCCCTACAGTGGAAAAAGTTAACCCCTGTCCTGTGAGGATTCTTAGATGGAAATTTAAAAATTCTGCAAATGTTCAGCTAGGAATTTTATCACATTCCTTTATGATACTTTCTTCAAAAGATAAAAAGCACCTTGGGATATCATGCACCCTCCTGATTCTGTATAGCAGGGGTCCCCAACCTCTGGGGTCTAACACCTGATGATCCGAGGTGGAGCTGATGTAATAACAATAAAGTGCACAGTCAATGTTATGCACTTGAATCATCCTGAAACAACCCCACCACCACCACCAACCCCGATCGTGGAAAAACTGTCTTCCATGAAACTGGTCCCTGGTGCCAAATAGGTTTGGGACCAGTGCTTTATGGCCCAACAATAAACAAACACTTCAAATTTACGCTCAAAAATCTCAAATAATGCATAGCTTAAACATAATACAAGATGTACTTTCTTAACAAGACTGTTGATGGGACTGGTAAAACTTGCAATAGACTAGTAAGTTTGCTGTGCTTCAGTTTTAAAATAGAGCTAAAAAGAACCTAACATTAAAAATGGGTGTTTCTCTTTCCCCTACAACCTACCAGACTTTAAAATAGGTTCAGGACAATTCAACGCAGCTATGAAAGTTAAAAAAAAAAAAGAAAAGATACTGTGATAAAAGCTAGTATTCTACTAAAAGTATCATACTGAACACCTAAGACATATTTTAGAATCAAATTTGAAAACTAAATTTTACCAGTCATGGATGTTAATAACATTCAGTAGTTAGTAGAAATGGTATCATTTTCATTATTACCCAATAAAACCATTCATTTTGTACAGGATAGAAACCCGCCATGTCATACAACAGATGCGTTCCACAGTCACCCAAACAACTCTGAGAACAGGGACCATGCTCTGTCACTTTTAATGCCTTTACTACATCCCCAGTGCAACGCCCAGCACACAGTAGGAACTCGGGTGCTGTGACCACAGACTGCAGCATGGACTAGTGTCAGCAAAACTGCTCATAATGATAGACTGATAGCTAAAAAGGAAACATGATACCAAGTTATTAATTTGTTCAACATTCATTGATGGCACAGTTTATGCCAGTCAGTCCTATGCTGAGCACATGACTGATTCATCAGAAAAGACTCTGATGCTGGGAAAGACAGGGCAGGAGGGGAAGGGGATGATAGAGGATGAGATGGTTGGATGGCATCACCAACTCGATGGACATGAGTTTGAGGAAGCTCCGGGAGTTGGTGAAGGACAGGGAAGCCTGGAGTGCTGCAGTCCATGGGGTCGCAGAGTCAGACATGACTGAGCCACTGAACTAATGCTGAGCACAAGAGAAGGTGCAAGAGACAGCTGTGTGCACCTGGCTGTCCACTCCAAGTAGTGGTCACCCCCCCGCTGGAGGCCACAGACCACCGGGGGCCTTCCAGAAGACACAGGTTGCCTGCAAATCCTTAGCCAACAAGGAATGTCTCAGACTAAGTCCTGCACATATCTGGACAACTATGTGTTTCAAATATATGCTGATAGAATGGTGATTAATGTCACATTTATTTAAAAAATTACTGAGTGCGTATTAGCCTTTGGTCACTGTCCCAAGATGGAGCTATTAACTGGGAAAAGATTTAAACAAAATATTTACACGTTAAAGAAAAGTACACTTGGAAACACTGTGAACCTCTGATGTGAAAATTTTAAAAAGAACTCTTTGGAAACAGAGAGGCCATTACTGGAATCTTCGAAGAGTTACTAGCACCTCTAACCTGTAACCTAAAGTACAAATATATTCCCCAGGCAATGTATGGCAAAAACCACTACAGTACTGTAAAGTAATTAGCCTCCAATTAAATAAATTTAAAAAAAAATTTTTTTTTACTTTTATATTAAGAAGATCATTATAAAGCACCGCACTGACAGAGTACAAGTACTGACCAGGAACCAGCTTGTTTGGTTTTGTTAAGCTGCTGCTGCTGCTAAGTCGCTTCAGTCGTGTCCGACTCTGTGCGACCCCATAGACGGCAGCCCACCAGGCTCCCCCGTCCCTGGGATTCTCCAAGATATTCCTCTGAATAACGAACCCAAGTCAGAGAAGCAGCAGCAAGCACAGCCTGGCAGGTGGAGCCCAGGCAGCCTCAGCTGACGCGAGGCTGGGGCCTGACACACCTACCAGACACGCCAGTCACGCGGGTGTGCAGTCGCAGCTCCTGGCATTCAGTCCCTGGCCTCGTCCAGGGGAACCGCGGTCCACCCAAGCACGAGCGTCAGTAGGCGCCTCCTTGTAGGATGAGTGAGGGACCTTGCTTCCTTGGCTCAGAATCCATGCTCAAGTAACCGGCTGATTGTAATTTAGCTTCCCAAGGAGATCTGCCTAAAATGAGAGAATGACTGATAGTTACCTTTCTCATTGTAAATTAAACTACTAATGGGAAAAAAACAATCAGCCTCTGTGAGTTTGGTTACAGTGAGTTTGCCATGAGACAGTTCTGCTCTCCGTGTGCTGACATGCTAGGTCTGTGAGCCGCAAGTTTCCTCATCACACGGGGTGCATCAGATTCGCCTCCACCAGACGACAGCACCCACTGGTCCAGCGTGGTGGCCACGAGCCACACGAGGAGACTGGGCCCCTGAGACACGGCTGGCCCAAACTGAGATGTCTGTAAGTGTCAAGGACACGCCAGATTTCAAAGACTTGGTAACAGAGAAAAGAATGTAAAACATCTCAATAGTCGCTTCTTTATAATGGCTATGTATTTTTTTTCTCTTGTTTTGTGGCTACATATCTAAATGATAGAATATTCTGGACATGCTGGAATAAATTTCATCTTTTTTTAAAAAATGTGATTACTCCAGAATTGACAATCACCTACTCAGCTCATGCTGTATTTCTACTGGTCCTCACTCTTCTATGCAAATGAGGACGGCATGTTTGTGCTCAGAGTTTACACTTATCCCTTCCAATGAAACGGACTTGGGGAGACCAAGGAGAGGCCCAGTGGTCCCTTTCTTACACTGAAGCCAGTCAAGCAGGATCAAGTGGCCATTTCCTATTACTTGACTTTAAAAAGGCCAACATAAGTGGTGTTTTGGTACCTGCACGAGGGTCTGAGGTTCCCACCGTGGGAACAAAGGGCTGTGGAGACCAGCGGGTGGGCTCAGAGCTGACTTCTCCAGGCTGTCAGGACTCAGCCATCTATGCCCTCGGCCTCAGCATCTCATCTGTGAGGTGCAGGTGACAGGTGAGCCCACAGGATGACGCCTGCACCCAGCGACACCTGAACAAGTGTCCTGTGAGCCAGTGCTAGAACTGAGAAGTGGACGCTTAGTTTTCCTGGTAACTTTGCCTTATCCTTTCCCACAGACTGACTTATAAGGTAAATATCAAAGATAAAAATGTGAAAAGATAGGTTTTATTCATCAAAAGTGAACAGCAACAGGCACATATTAAAATGAGTCTGGCAAAGCCTTTTACAAATGGCTTTACACTCAAGCTTTCTCCCAAGAAAATGGCTGTTGCAACAAACTGTAAACATAATTAATAAACAGTCTTTTACAGTAACAAGGGAAATACAATGGAACTAAAAGAAAGCACCGGTTTCTCTTAAAACTAGATTACAGTTGTGCTTACTATACATAAAACAATTTAAAACAAATTACAAAAGTGGAATGTTTGTTAAATTTAAAATTAGTCCTTAGATTTTTTTTTTGTCCTAGAAAACATCTGTTCACATCAAAAGGCCCGTCGAAGGGGAACGTTTCATCAAAGGGAGGGACGAGAAAACAATGCACTTTTTTTTCAAATCAAAACAAGAAGTTTGGTCACTTAGCTTGGTGCATAGTTAAGGCATCTGGCGTCTGGAGCCATCATCTCTCACGGCGACCTCCCTTCCCCTCCCATGTGTGGCTGCTCACTACGTCACATTCTACAATAATAAATAAAAGCCGACGTCTCTGATCCTTGCCACGTGGATAAATAGAACACATGCACAGTCACACATGCACAAGCGTGCCCCAAACACACATCCACACACACACAACATACCTCTCACTCCCTGCAGCAAGAGGGACTTTAGTACCCTTGCTCTGAAGGACACACTGGCCCATCCCACTTTATTTCAGATTGGCAATACCCTGAGCTGATTATGGTGTTTTAAACATTCCACCTTTTTTTTCTTGCATGTGCAGGTCAAGTGTACAGTAGTGAAAACAACATGCAATGTCTTCACCGCGGAATCATAATACAGCTAGGACACTGGGGTTCTGCCCCACCCGCCCCAAATTAAAAATGAAAGAGTTAAAAAAAAAATTGCATTGCCAAACAGCACTGGAGTGAAAGCTTGGCGGCACTCTATGATAAATGCTCAGTTTCCAGTGCACGAAATAAAACCAGAGCAAATGGGAGGCTTTGGTGGCATTCGAAGAAAAAAAAGGCAAACTGGGGGAGGGGGAGAAAGAGCTGCAGTTCTAGGTTTGCTCTTCAGAATTCTTAGTGGTTCCTTCACAATCATGCTCCAAGGCAAATTGAGAACCAATATTTCAAGAGTTGGTTTGTAAACATTGAGTCCTGCCAGAGGTGCAGACACTGGGCACTTCACATTTCCATTTTCTCCGAGAGAATCAGTGGAAGGTACAGATAACACACTGTTTGCATCGGGCTGGTTAAATTCCGAAGATTTCTGCTGAAGACTTCAGTTCAAGCTTCACGATGATGCTTTGAAGAGCAATACCTCCTGCAAAAACTTCCTCGCTTATTCCCTCCGTCTGCTCCTGCCGGGCGCTGCCTCTTCAAGGTCTCCCACAAAAAGCCAAACGCATATTGCTGTAGGTTCGGGTCTTGTCGTTAACAAGTGGGTTCAAATGATCCAACAGAGGAAATCTTGGAAATAAATAATGCTGGCATCATTCATTTCCCTTGGCAGTCAAGAGTAAGTTCTCTCACCTCAAGACCCCGTTTCACATTTCTAACAACCTCCAGGAGGCATCTGTCCACTGGTTCTGGGGGTTAGGATAACCGGTTTTCCTGAGGTAATAACTGTGAGCTCAACTCCTCGAACGTAGCATCAGTGTCCTCGCTGCTGGACTGTTCCCTCTGCAGCCCCTTCCAGCTGGCTTTGTTCAGCCCCACGTGTCCGAGCATCGTCTGGGACAGCCTGGTATTGGAGAACCGGGCCCATTCTGTGAACAGAGGCTCCACGAGATAGGTCATAAAACCTGAGGAAACAAGGAGAAAAAGCCTCTGTGTGTGTGCTGAAACTTTCCAAGGTCGATACAGCGTTTCCTCTCAAGTCCCATTCCAGTACTATCTAGCTCTAATTTTTCTAGACGTGTGTGAAAATTTACATACCTTCTCAAAGAATCTATGTAAGCAACGTAATGAGACTTAAAGTGAAGGTGAGCTGACAAAAGGAGCACATCTCTTCTGATGATTCCTCTCAGCTGCACCAACCACATCCTCCTATTAATGTTTCAGCAAAACCGTGGCGGCCCTGGAGTCAGGCTCAGCAGGTCCGAGGGCTGGTTCCCCCAAGACCACTAGAGCTAAGGGGGTCTCCTGGGCTGCAGGTGACGAGACCAGAACCGAGGTGCAGCGGCTCTGCCATCAGTGGGGGGTGATTATCACCCCTGGTCATGAGCACAGGGGGCCTTCTATGTATCGATACCTCAGAATTTATAAAGCTAGAACTCACGACACCATGGCTTCCCTGGTGGCTTGGTGATAAACAATCTGCCTGCCAATGCAGGAGACCTGGGTTGGGAAGATCCCCTGGAGGAGGAAATGGCAACCTGCTCCAGTATCCTTGCCTGGGAAATCCCATGGACAGAGGAGCTTGGCATGTTACAGTCCATGGGGCCACGAAGAGTCAGACACCACTCAGCAACGAAACGACAACATGACACCAAGTACAAGTCTAAGAAGAACAAAGATTAATTCAAACCATGACTGAAGTGAACACTGGAAGTGTACTAGGGCCTGCTTTATGGACAGCTCATACAACCAATCTCCCTTAATTCAGAAAAGGAAAGGCGATGTCAGGACAGTCTACACCTCTGGGTTACACAGTACTCAGCACACACTGTATCTGACTTAATAATACCACACAGTATCTTACACAGGGTGAAAGAAGCCTCCTAGGAAACACCTTAACAAAAGCAAATATGACATCATCTTCCTAAACTTTTGATCAAGGACACCAAAATATACATTCAAATTCTATCACTGTTAACAGTTTTCAAATTTTTTTCATCTCTAAAACTTTCTTCTCAGGGAAAGACTCGATGGACCACAAACTACACATGGTCCACTTAGCCAACAAGAGAATCTCACTGGTGGGACTGCCCTCCTGGTCCGTGCTCCCAATGCAGGGGGCCTGGCTTCGAGCCCTGGTCAGGGCGGTAGGTCCCACACGCCACAACCAAGAGTCTGCGTGGTGCAAGTAAAGATCCCACATGTTGTAATGAAGACTAAAGATCCTACAATTAAGACCTGGTGCAGCCAAATAATATATATATATTTTAATGTCACGGAAATAAAGCAGTTAGCACCAATAGTTTTAATCAGAAAAGTCATGTATGGTCTGATGGTTGAATTTTAAGGGTACCAATTCTGGTCTCTGAAGTAGCAGTGATGATACTGGAAACATGGCTTTCTTCCGTGTCTCCCATCTCCTCCACACGTGTTAACTGAGAACGTACGCTACGCCAGGCACTGCTCTGGGCTGGCCAGGGCTCAGCAGGGAACAGCTGAGATGTGCCTGCCACAGGAATGTTCTGGTGAGGAGAGGACATGAGAAAAACGTCACCACTGTGGTGAGAGAGCATTTCGGCCTCTGGCAGTGGCCACCCTCACACCACCGGTCAGGTTGAGTCTGCACCCGGAGCCCCGTCTTTTTCTAGGTCAGGTCATGAGCAGCCGGGTTCTGGTACCCAAACGTAGGACCTTATTACCACTGGTTTCACAGGGTCCGTTTTCTTTTTTAAAAATGGAATAGCATCCAGCCTTTAAAAAAATTTTTTTTTAAAAACAAATCTGTGGCTGTGCTGGGTCTTCGTTGCTGCGCAGGCTTTTCTTCAGTTGTAGTGTGCAGGCTTCTCATTGCAGTGGCTTCTCCTGTTGCATTGGCAGGCGAATTCCTAACCACTGGAAGGCCTGGATCCCTGTTGATTCTCCCACCATTCCAACCGGCTGAGAGCATCTGCATCCTGTTTCTCCCATCCAACAGACTAGCTGTCTCTCCAGGCTCTCCGTTCCCTGGGATTCTTTGAGGTCTTAAGCACCTGGTATCAGCACCCAGGCTGGGGCCACAGACACAGCCGGGAGGCACCCTGGGCTTACGAGCCGTCCACCCACTTGTGAATCCACTTCTCTGTCCCTGTCCACGTGCCCCTCTCTCTCCTCGTCCAGACACCAGAGGGCACCGGGTCACGTGCCTGACCCTCACCCAGTACACGACAGACTCAGGGCTCCAATCACAGAAGAAAGCTGCTTACTGACCGCACTCTGGCTCTGGGTAACTGCTGCTTAGCACAGAGTTTATTCTAACAGTCCCCTGACTTACCCTAGAAGGAGAATCTCTGCAAGTCCCACTTTTGCTTAGGATCTGAGGTTGCAAAGACCAACACCTGCTAACTATAAACTGGGCAAACTGGAAGAGGAGCCCAGCAGCGCTTGTCTTGGGTGGCTGGGAGTCAGGAGCTGCCCAACCGCTTGTGCGTCCACTTAACTGTCCCAGGACAGCCCACGTGCCTGGGACTGCTGCCTTCACGGCTGTGGCTGTGCGGAGCCCGGTGGAGTCTGAAGTTGCTGAAGGTAAATGAGAGGGCGGGTGCTGGGGAGACGACTTGAGGCCAGGTCACAGGGGCCTGTGCGCAGTACTGCAGAGTCAGCTTCAACCAGCAGGTGGCGCTGAAGAGCCTGAGGTCGCGAGTGTTCACTGGCAATCGGGTCTAGTGGTTCCAGAATACTTTCTATTTTGAGGGGTAGGGGGAGAGCTGGGGAGGGGGTGCTGCACTGGATCTTCACTGCTGTGCACGGGCTTTTCTCTAGTTGCAGAGAGGAGGCCCACGGGCTCTGTTGCCCTGCAGCACGTGGGATCTTCCCAGACCAGGGATCAAACCTGTGTCCCCTACATTGGCAGGCAGATTCTTAACCAATGGACCACCAGAGAAGTTCCTATTCTTTCCATTTTAGAACAGAAAGTTACTGCAACCTGCTCTGCTTCTTCTGTAACTATTTAATTTCTGTCTGGGTCTTTGCTGCGCACGGGCCTTCTCCAGTTGTGGTGCGCAGGCTTCTCGCTGCAGTGACTTCTGCTGTGGCAGAGCATGCGCTCTGCACACGGGTGGCAGTGGCAGGGCTCAGGAGCTGGGGCACACAGGCCTAGCCACCCCATGGCATGGGATCTTTCCCAACCAGGGGTCAAATCTGTGTCCCCTGCAGTGGAAGGCGGATTCTTAACCACTGGACCATCCGGGAAGCCCTGCTCTGCTTTTTATCAACTAAAATCAAATGAGAGTAAATTATAAGGGTCCAAAAAAAAAAAAAAAAAATCCAGGAATAAGATTTCTTAAAATATTTAAAAATTAGAAATAAGCATTTTAATATTTATATTTCAGATGTATCTCTCTTCCTGACAAAATTAAAGTCAGTGGCATTTTAAAAACCAGTTATATCTGAGTATGTATAGTTACCAATCTGGATGTTGGCAATTGATTCAGTCTGACGATCGCAGAGTGGACTCACACCCAAATGATACTTTTTTTCTATATCTCCTAGAAATTTAAAAAAGAGAAAGATAATTCTTTATGTGGAATATACCTTATTGGTTAAAAATATAATTAAAGTCTTCATCTTACCTGTAAATTCCTTAGGAAAAATGTAACATACTTAATCCTCATGAGAGGACGCCTTCTAAATTAGTTCTTTTTTAAATTTTAAGTTATTCACACATAGAAAATGTTGCCAAGCTGATAACCTATTTCAAATGGAGAGGGTGGAAAACTTAACTAGATGTTATCCCAGGATTGTAATTCTGTCACAGCATTTTAGTTTAAAACTTAAGATTTCTAAAAGGAAGATGCATGGAATGAAGATCTTTATTTTTCTGGCTTTAATTCACAAAATATGTCCTATGGCCACACCCTTCACATGGGACAAGGATGGAGCAAGGGCAGGACAATCTTTCTGTGCAGCAAAACTTCCAAACTTGCTCTGTGTCTATTCATAAATGCACACACATCAGACCATTTCAAAAGAAAACCGCTGATTTTCAAAACAGGCCCTCAATTTGTGCATTATTGGTTCTACGTCCATCTATTGTGAACTGTCGCTAAAACTATCAGGCACCTACTGCTAGACTCTACAGTTGTCTAGCCGTTATTTTGTCCAAGTTATTTTAATTGTCTATGTTATTTTATTCATATGATGCTAAAAAATGAACAGATGACCACTCAATACTCAATACTGTAACTTGCCTTGATGGAAGAATTCCTCTGTTACTTTTTCACTCCACTGCTTGCTTAATTCCCAGGTCCGACATGGGTTACAAATATCTGCACACTTCAAAGCCATCTAGCAAGCAAAACATTGAAACTGTCTTAAGAAAAAAAGTAAAATTTCAAATGTACTAAGTTTTAAATATACTCTAATAGTGAGGAAAAGAACACCTTAAAAAAGAAAAAGAAAATGTTGCAATAGAACATCTATTATCCTTGACGCTGAGTTTGGGGCTTTCCTGGAGGCTCAGATGGTAAAGAATCTGCCTCCAATGCAGCAGACGTGAGTCTGCAGCAGAGTCGATCCCTGGGTCAGGAAGATCCCTGGAGAAGAAAATGGCAACTCACTCCAGTGTTCTTGCCTGAAGAGAAGCCCGACGGCTCCTCTGTACATGGGGATGAAAAGAGTTGGGGTACAACTGAGCGACTTTCATTTTCACACTGAGTTTATGATACTGTTAGTTACAGCAATCATTTTATAGAGGTACTGAAAGCCTGCTAACCGAACTGAACATGCTTGATAATTCCAGAGAGCTAACACAGAACTGTATTAATCAGAAAGCTACAAACCAATCAGTCATTTCTCATTTTTCATATGTGAGAACTTGTTAAAATAAAATGCTGTCTGGGACTTCCCTGGCCATCCAGTGGTTAAGACTCTGTGCGTCCAATGCAGGGGCACAGGTTCAATTCCTTGTCAGGGAACTGAGATCCTGTGTGCTATGCGGCACAGCCAAAAAATGTAACAACAAAAAAAAAGCTGCTACTGTTGACTGGTACTGCATCTTGTAAACACTGTTTTTGTTAGAAATCTCAAGTATGAAAAAGACAAAAGTGATGGCCCTTTCCTGCGCAGCCTTCTGCAATGCTTTGCAGACCACAGCTTGCTCTCAAGATTTAACCACTCAGAGAACTACATGAGAATATTTCATTTTTATTCTAACAATATGCCCTAGAAATAGAATTTTTCCAGGCCACATTTTACCTGTAAGACCAAATGCCTATGCCTAGCATCTTCCAGATGTAGATCGCCCTTGTCCAGATGGGCCCGAAACAAGGACAAGTATTCATTCTGGCGGCTGATGTCTGTGGCCAGTATCAGAGCGCCTATCTGAGCCTCCATCTGTTGTCTGGAAGTAGAGAAACAGAGAAAAACAAGGCTTTCAGTTGAATAGCTACCTCTTAATTATTTTTCCCTTAATCTTAATACTCAGAAAGCTTTACTGAGCTCTAAGATATTTTGTCATTCAACTTTTAACCTACCGCAAAACATGGGTTTTAAGGAATGCATTTTTCAGTTCAGTCACTCGATGGACATGAGTTTGAGTAAACTCCGGGAGTTGGTGATGGACAGGGAGGCCTGGTGTGCTGCGATTCATGGGGTCACAAAGAGTCGGACACGACTGAGCAACTGAACTGAAAATGATCAAACCAAGACCAAGAGAGCTTGTGGGGAAATACCACTAGGCAAACACTCCAAAAGGAAGGCCTTAAGGTGGAATTATGTGCCTTTAAAAAAAAAGTCTATGTACAATTGACATGCTGCTTGAGAAAATTTTTTGCTGTGATGTAGGGAACAACTTTGGATTCTTTGTTGGTGCCTGAGATGCAGGAGGAGGGTCAGAAGGAGGAACAAAACTATTCGACTACTGACTTCTGCAGACAAGAGAAGATATTTCTGAGTAAACCCTAATGAAGCTCCACCAAGCAATGTAATAAAGTTTAGATTCAATTATATTTTCACAACCAAATTCAACAATCAATTATCTGTAAAACTATTCAAATTTTCTGGAAGGGAAAATGTAACATGTTAAAACAGATAACAAATATATCATCTAAAAAGCTTTCTCAAGTCAAATAGGAAGAATGTTTAAAAATTCCTTTTGTTTCAATGGGCCATCGCCAATGTTTTCTTTGTATAATGATCAGTAAAGGGCTGATCATTATAGATTAAAAAGTTCACAATATCGAATATTAAAGCCCTAAAGAAAGAAGACATAAAAGGATGCAACTGTGTAGTAGTCCTAATTTTCAGTTTTTATTTGAAATAAATATGAGAATTCAACAGGGTTAACATCAAATGCAAATCATGATAAAAAAGGGAATAATAAAGCGAACAATTTAATCCATCTTATTCAAGAAAAAGAGCACTTATATATACTAACACCAGTTAGTATATGGTGGTTTAAATAGTTTTTATAATATTTGTACGACAACAAGAAACAATTTTACTTACCAGAAGTATTGTCAAACTCCAAATGGTCGCCATGAATACAGACTTAAAAAATTTTTTTTAAAGTCCACCTTTTTTCTTATGATCATTACCAAAAACTGTTGTTTTATACAGTTCTTTTAAATTGAGGAAGCGAAAGAGAAAGGAAAGAGCAGTAACAGTAACTTAAACCTTGATATCCTAACACATTTTTACGTTCCCTTTTCTCTAGAATTAGGCAGTTGATATCCACTGACATTGTTTCCCCAGGTCACCTTCTCAAGATGAGACACCATTAAAAGCTTGTGTTGGTGGACCAATGACATGAGATTCTGCTGACAATACCACGATACTGGGCTCCTTTATGCCAGTGCTTTATGTTAGCTTTTCACATGGGGTGTGTGTGTGTGTGTGTGTGTGTGCGCACGTGTACATGCTCGTGCTTAATTGTTCATTCAGTCGTGTCCGACTCTTTGAGAGCCTATGGACTATAGCCCTTGAGGCTCCTCTGTCTGTGGAGTTCTTCAGGCAAGAATACTAGAGTGGGTTGCCATTTCCTCCTACAGGGGACCTTCCTGACCCAGGGATCAAGCCTGTGTCTCCTGCACTGGCAGGTAGGTTCTTTGACCACTGAGCCACCTGGGAAGCCCCACTCAAACGGCCTGCTTGACATCAAATGACACTGATGTCTAAAAAAAAATTAAGTTTTCCATTCTTTCTCTTCATCATTTTTCCTAAAACAGATTTTAATGAATCTGTTTCTTATACAGATTGCTTACTTTCTATCCAATTTACCTTTACATTAAGGTTTTATTCAAAAGAATATAAAATGGAAATATGTAATTCTATTTACATAAATAAGCAGTAAACATGACTGAGCTACTGTGTATCCGGAGTGCATTTTGTAGTATCTGTGGATTGATCCTTCATAAAAATTCACTGAAAAAAAAAATGCTACTGACTGTATTTCAGAATAGGTGTAAGTTACTAAAATTTTGATGCAAATTTGTAAAATAAGATAATTTACCCCCAAACTGGGGCTTCCCTGGTGGCTCAGATAGTAAAGAATCCACCTGCAATGTGGAAGACCTGGGTTTGATCCCTGGGTCAGGAAGATCCCCTGGAGGAGGGAATGGCANATTTACTTTCACTCCTTTAAAACATGACCCATTTTCTAGAATATAAGAATATTAAACTTTGAGGAAGAGCTTGCACTCACCTTGTATAAAGTTGCCAAGTAATGGTTAGTTTTAATGAGGAAAGGTTGATTAACACCTGGATGATCCAGATCATGAGTGGCAGCTGCAATTAAGCTCAGCAAGACGTCCCAAGGAGTTACAGAGTTGGCAAGCTAGACAGTGGCGAGGAATAACTGATTACAGACGTGCCTGCAACGACCTGTACCATAACAGCTGTTCTAAACCAGCCCTGAATGAGACTGTCCACGGTCTCCTCCCCTCATGTCTCTCTGACTGTCCCTCCAGGCCAAGGCGTGCCTGCCACGTGCTGTCCACTCATGCCCCTGGCGGCAGGCACAGTGTGATGCAGTCCCTTGTCCACGGGGAGGTCATGGACCTGGCTCACCTTTACACTGCTTCATTTGGAAGAAGCCTAACTAAGATGACTGCTAAAGTATAAACCATCTTTTTGAGTGTTTTGAGTGTTTGAGTGGTGAAAATTGTTTAAAATAAGGATGATCAGGGCTACACAGGCAGAAAGTGTTCCACGTCACCACTGCCAGACGTGCACGGGTTAAGACGGCATCTGCACCCCTGTTCACTCCCCGCACACTCTCCCCTCTGGTGCCCAGTCCTGGCTTCCGGCTGGGCGCGGCCAGTGGGAGGGTGAGGCCCCCACAGCCCACGGACTAGGTTTACCCCCGCCGCTTGGGTCCCCTGGAAGGCAGCACTTGGTTCCATCGGCCCACATCCCTGGCTGTGTGGGGATGGAGTACCAATTTCTACCACAAGACTGTCAAAGAGAAACTTTAGGCTTGGCCCAGAGTATTTTTTTTTTCCTCCAGAGTATTTTTTTACAGTTTAATTTAAAAATTGGNGGGTCCCCTGGAAGGCAGCACTTGGTTCCATCGGCCCACATCCCTGGCTGTGTGGGGATGGAGTACCAATTTCTACCACAAGACTGTCAAAGAGAAACTTAAGGCTTGGCCCAGAGTATTTTTTTTTTCCTCCAGAGTATTTTTTTACAGTTTAATTTAAAAATTGGGGCAGCTGGGCGCACATGCATAAAACATATCCATTTTATCACTGTATATCAATGATGCCACAATAAAATCGGTGTTTTTTAATTGGGGTATTTTCACATATTCCATGATCTCTTGAAAAAATCAGAAGAGTGGCACCCATGTGGCTGTCTTCTCGGAGTTGGCATCAACTGGCACAAACTGGCCCTGTCAGCCTGCTTCTCTCCCAACATCTAGCCTGAACTAAGACCCCAGAGGAGAGGAATCTAGAAGCAGGCCTAAGGGTGGGCGGATGTAATTTCACCAGCTCTAGAACAGGAAACGTCCATGAGCAAAGACGGCTTCCCTTACATCTATGGCTGATGACCCCCAACTCAGACTTCTCTGTTTTACTGCAGACTCCTATCCACCTCTTCACTAGGATCCCTCCGCTTGGATATGGCAGGCACACGTATAACCGCACACATCCACAATGGAGCTCACCATCTCCCCGGCCCTCTCCCCCTCTACCTTCCCTCCCTCGCAGCGATTCCCACCCGCCCCTCTGCGGCCCAGGGCGGTGTCCACCCACCTCTCTCCCGACTTCACCCCCCAGAGGCGTCCAGACACCACATCCTCTTCATTCTGATTTCCGAAGACCTCATCAACCGCCCCCATCTCTCCTGCCCCAGGGCTACAGAATCAGCCCCTCACCGGCAGCGTCCCAGTTGCTGGTCTTCTCTGCTTTGTTCTCCCTCCATAGCCAGGACGGTTCTGTAAAGTCTCCTACTTCACTCCCACAGCTCCCTACTCATCATCACTGGACACGACACCAATGCTATCCCTGCCCTCATGGAGCTCAACGTAATCGCCAGATGATTCACATGGAGAAGTCAGATGGCTTGGCCCTCGCTTGGGCTTTTGCAGCCTTGCTCTTGACAATCACCTCGATTCTCTAGCTTAAAGTGTGATTAAAAATACAGCCACATTTGGAAACTTGATCCAGCTACATCTCATTCCTGAGAAGGAAGCTTCTGAGTCTGATTAAATCACCAACTTAGGGCTTCCCAGGTGGCTCACTGGTTTAAAAATAAATCCACCTGCCAATGCAGGAGACGTGGGTTTGATCCCTGAGTCGGGAAGATCCCCTGGAGGAGGAAATGGCAACCCACTCCAGTATTCTTGCCTGAAGAATCCCATGGACAGAGGAGCCTGGTGGGCCACAGTTCATGGGGTCACAAAGAAGCGGACGTGACCGAGTGACTAAACAACAAAATCACTAACTTAAGGAAACATTTGAAATTAAATCAAGAGAATTTTCTCAGGGCTTTGGCTGACTGTAAATGTCAGCATCTTACCTTAGGTTCTTTCAGGTAACAGTGCATGGCCTGAGTAACATCGGCAGCGTGGACTGCATTGTGGTAAGGGTTCTGACTGTGGTAATCTTCTTGAATCATCACTGCATCAAAGGAAAAAAGACCCCAAATTTAATTGCAAACAGGAGGCATTTACAAGTGCAAAAATTGCAACAATTATGTATTTCCCACTTACCCTATTCATGTGGCTATCAGCTAACAGTTCAATTCAGAGAGATGATAACCACTTCATAACTCACATGAACACCACTGTGACTAACTCGTTTGAAACTTTTAAAATGAGAAGGTATTCATGTCAAATTTATAAAATTATTTTCTTCCTCTTTTAAAATGTCAATCTCATTGTGTCAAACTCCTTTAACTGTTGTTTACTTTAAAAAGAATTTCTTAGTTAAATAAATGGAGTACAATTCATTCAACAAATATGTATTGTGCTAGGTGCTGTTCTAGGAACTATGAATTCATTAGAGAACAAAAATCTTTGATGCAATACTAGTACAGACATTGGGGAATGTGTGTGGATTCCAGGATGCTTCATCAGTAAGGTGAGTTTCAGATCTGGAGTTAGTTTTTCAGGAGTGCGGGAAGGATGACCTGTTAGTCCGCCTCCTCTGCTAGTGTCGGTTACGCTAACCATGAAAAAGTAGACGAGGACGAGGGGTCCAGCCAAACCCGCCACCATCAAACCTGCGCCAGGGCCCCAGCGGCCCTGCACTCAGTCCAGCGGTACCCGGTGCAGTGAGCCAACCCCAAAGTGGTAAACGAGGTCACACAGTGAGGGGCGAAGAGCAGTACTGACTCTGATTCCATCCTTTAAAATAGCTTTTTAAATGCTCTCCTTAACATCTATGTTTGTATGTGCTTTTACAATTTATGTATTAGTACATATTACAGACATACAATTTATAAATAAATATGCATTAGAAGTCTCTCAAAAAGTCCTAGATATCTTCTCTTAGTTAGCTACTTAAGAGGAAAGAAAATAGTCTCTTCTTCCTTAAAAAAATAAGAAAGAATCCTTACGCTAATTTTCTTCTAACACATTTATTTGGTGAAAGACCCCAATTTGTTTCCTGGCAGAGTGCTCTTAAATATCACTCTGCACATTAAAACATAGTCAAAATAATCCTTGGAGGTTGCTGTCAAGAGATTTCAGGGATCAGGAAAAGAGGAGATCCAAGTGCCACGTACCTGATCATTTAAGGTTTTAATCTTTGAGAAGTGAGGAAAGGACAGAAGTCGTGTTGTCTGTGAGACAGTTGTGGCTGACATGGGAGACTGTGGGCAAAGGGGCTCCCGCTCCTCACCAGGCCCCTGGTGCCCCCACCCATGGCACTGGGCCCTCACAGCTTCCCCACCCAGAGGTGCGGTCCCCCCTCTGACCGGCTCTGGCCATAGGGTTGTGGTGGACGGGAAGGTCCCAGCATCCAGCCTGGACTCTGGGCATACCAGCGGTCTCCTGAAAACTGGCCACAGCACTTTGAATAAGCTCAGATTGTTGTAAAATAATAATTTTTCAAAAAAAAAATTATTTTACTTATTTCACTGCATTGGATCTTAGCTGCAGCATGTGGGACCTAGTTCCCTGACCAAACCCAGGCCTCCTGCATTGGGTGCGCTGAGTCTTAGCCACTGGACCATCCGGGAAATCCCTATTTTTTGGTTTTAATGTTACTCTGTTATGGTGTCAGACTCCGCTGTCTCCCTTTAATTTAACAGCAGACCACAGAGAGCTGAGCTGGGTCAGGCCCAGTGCCCCTGGGGAGGGCCCAGCCGAGGCCTGCGAAGCTGCCATGCGGCTCATCCCGTGTCCAAGGCAGGGACGCAAACAAGCTCAGCCAGACCAGGAGCGGCCCACAGGCTCAGGGCTCCATACATGTGTGTTGCTTCAAAATACTAACTTTGGGGTGGTTAGTTTTAAAGCCATAGTTGATATAACCGAGAGAAAAGGTAATAGTTCAGTTCAATCGCTCAGTCGTGTCCGACTCTTTGCAATCCCATGAACCGCAGCACACCAGGCCTCTGTGTCCATCACCAACTCCCAGAGTCCACCGAAACCCATGTCCATTGAATCAGTGATGCCATCCAACCATCTCATCCTCTGTTGTCCCCTTCTCCTCCTGCCCTCAATCTTTCCCAGCATCAGGGTCTTTTCAAATGAGCCAGCTCTTTGGATCAGGTGGCCAAAGCGTTGGAGTTTCAGCTTCAACATCAGTCCTTCCAGTGAACACTCAGGACTGATCTCCTTTGGTTTTAAAGCCATAGCTAATATAACCAAAAGAAAAGGTAAAAAGTTCCCATATAAATATTACTCTTAAATGGGTTAGAATCACTTACCTAAAAATCTACGAAGTTTCATCATATCTAAATGGAAGTACTCAATTAATCCATGGAGACTAAATAAATGAAAGGTTAAACTTACTAGACTATTTCCTAAAAAGAAAGAAGAGAAGACATTAGTAGGAATACAAGATATTAATAACATAACTGCACACTGTGCTTCCAAATAAGGGTTTGAATATACAACATGAAGAGTACTAAGTCATACTTGTTGTCCATCTAAAATTTACATCTTATCTTACCAGTTTTGAATTTTAAATATCACATCTCTTTTTCTATTCTAAGAAAAAACTTTTTTTGGTTTTATTTTTCAAAAACCAAACAACTGGAAGATAAAAAATTAGAATTGATAGAAAACTCTGAAAATTATCCACACTGAGTAAGTTTAATTCAATTTCCCAAAGCACCTAAAACTTCCTTGCAACCATCCCCCTAACTGAGCAGGCATGTCCCAGAGCAAAGCGTCTCGACTGCAAACGCTGTATTATTTAACAATTAAATAGACTGTATATTTAAAGGTGTGTGAGCTCATATATTACTGCCAGCATTCAGATAATAACATACACATGATTCTGTATTCTCAAAAGAAATCTATGATTCTTCCAAACATATATATATATAAAAAATAAGACCCAACTAGTTCCACAATGAAAATTTGTAGTCATAATATTTAAAAAGGATGATAAAGGACTACTGGGCTAAACTAATCCAAAACTGCCTGAGTAATTGTTGAGAGCCCACGGCTGAGGGAAAAAAGGAAATTAATTGGAACAATACAGGAAAGGATGTGGCTGCCGAAAGAGCCCTCTTAAACACCACCTCACTTATCATCTTCAAACAGAAAGAAAATAGCCATTTCAAATCTTTTACCTTCAAGAAGTGAAAAGTTAAAATGTACTCAAATTTTGGTAACACTCTACTGGTGCAAACATGAGCCCATGTGGTCTAGAATCAGGTGAAGAAGTGGGCTATGGTTCTGTTTTTACTGCTCTAACAACCAACTTTTCTTGGGACAGATACACAGATATTTCAGAATGTATCATCAAGAAAAAATCTGATTTTTAAAAACTGAGCAGAGGATCTGAATCACCGGTTTTCCAAATAAGACATACAAGTGGCTAACAGGTGTATGAAAAGCTGTTCACTGATCACCAAGGAAACGCAAATTAAAACCGCAACGAGGGATTACCTCACACCTGTCAGAATGGCTATTATCAAAAAGATAAGAGATAACAAGTGTTGGCGAGGGTGTGAAGAAAAGGGAACCCCTTGGTGAACTGCTGGTGGGATTCTTAAGCTGGTGTAGTCACTATGGAAAACAATGGAGGTTCCTTAAAAAATTTTAAATAGAACTACTATATGATTGAGCAATTCCACTTTGGGGTACATATCTGAAGGAAATGGAATCACTATCTCAAAAAGATACCTGTACCTCTGTCTTCACTGAAGCATTATTTACAATAGCCAAGACATGGCATCAACCAAAGGGCCCATAGATGGATGACTGGATAAAGAAAACGTGATATATATGCAATGGAATATTACTCAGGCATAAGAAGCAGGAAATCTTGCCTCATGTGACAAACAGACGGAGTTTGAGGAACCGTGCTAAGTGAAAGAGAAAGACAAATGCCACATGATCTCACCTCTACGTGGAATCTGAACCTAAACAACAAAGTCCTGAGCTCACAGATACACAGAACAGATCAGTGGTTGCCAGAGGTGAGGGTGTGGGGAGGTGGACAAAGTGTACTGCATATTTGAATGCTGCTAAGATAACAGATCTTAAAAATTCTCATCATAATAAAAAGTTGTAACTTTTATGTGTGGTGACTAGACCCATGTGGTGATTATTCTGCAGTATATACAAACAGTAAATCACTATGTCATATAATTGAAGCTAATATGTTATATGCCAATTATACTTCAATTAAAAAAAAAGTATGTATATTCGTTCTCTATATTTAGGTTATCAAAGATTCTCCCCAAAAGTGTTTCCCAAACCTAATGAAATAAATGACTGATCTCTAGGGTCTAGAGTAAGTTTTAAGGAAGCTGCAGTCCAATGGTAAAATACCCTCATCTGGAATTCAGGCAAATGGCAGGAAGAAAGGCACGCCAACATCTTCCCTCCAAGAACCTCAGAGGAATCTGACGAGAACCAATCTGTCAAAGTGCACCACCCATACTAGAATGAAAAACTGCATGCGACATTTTTTCTTACTTTCAGTTCACAAGATACCAACTGACTTAATACCAGTGAGTAAGAATACAAGTCATTGAAATTTATTATTTCAAAGCAAGTGATGTTTAGTTGATATATGTTACAACAAGAAATAGGCACTGAAGAAATTATTTTATATGAAAATGGAAACAAACGCTTTCTGGGAAAAGAAAATTTATAACTTAAGAGAAAAGTTACCTTATACAAAGACATACCAAAGGACAGGCCTGCCTAAGGTGTTATGGCTCTCAACAGGTTTCTGGATGGGACTCTATATGTAAGAACTGGGCTACAGTGACAACACGGGTCTAGCAATGAGGGCCCTCATGTGCCAGGTGACCTTCGAGGGTGACAAGCCCTATCTTGGTATCTCATGTAACTTAACTCATTCCTGCAAAAGCAATATCTAATATATTCTGTGCGTGTGTGTGTGTGAGTCGCTCAGTCATGTTGGACTCTTTACGACCCCATGGACTGTAGCTCACCAGGCTCCTGTGTAATATATTGTGTGTGTGTATTTGTGTGTGTGTGTGTGTGTGTGTGTGTGTGTGTGTGTGGCTCAGTCATGTCGGACCCTTTACGACCCCATGGACTGTAGCTCACCAGGCTCCTGTGTAATATATTGTGTGTGTGTATTTGTGTGTGTGTGTGTGTGTGTGTGTGTGTGTGTGTGTGGCTCAGTCATGTCGGACCCTTTACGACCCCATGGACTGTAGCTCACCAGGCTCCTGTGTAATATATTGTGTGTGTGTATTTGTGTGTGTGTGTGTGTGTGTGTGTGTGTGTGTGTGTGGCTCAGTCATGTCGGACCCTTTACGACCCCATGGACTGTAGCTCACCAGGCTCCTGTGTAATATATTGTGTGTGTGTATTTGTGTGTGTGTGTGTGTGTGTGTGTGTGTGTGTGTGTGGCTCAGTCATGTCGGACCCTTTACGACCCCATGGACTGTAGCTCACCAGGCTCCTGTGTAATATATTGTGTGTGTGTATTTGTGTGTGTGTGTGTGTGTGTGTGTGTGTGTGTGTGTGGCTCAGTCATGTCGGACCCTTTACGACCCCATGGACTGTAGCTCACCAGGCTCCTGTGTCCACGGGACTCCGCAGGCAAGAATAATAGAGTGGGTTGGCATTCCCTTCTCCAGCGGATCTTACTGACACAGGGATCCAACCTGGGTCTCCTGTACTGCTGGCAGATTCTTTATTGTCTCAGCCACCAGGGAAGCCCAAATATATCCTGCCAAATATATCCTGTCCACTTTCCACGTTGCAGTGGACAAACCAGGAGTCATCTGTCTTAGCGGGAATCTTAAGAAGAAACATAGCGCACACCGGCCCAATGAGCAAGAAGTGAAAACTATACACTTAGATACCAAGTACATGTATCATCCAGGATTCATTCCAGGCTAAGCAGCTTTGAAAGGAAAGCAGATCCAATTAAATAATGCAAGTTAAAAAGGAACTTTCTTCTGCCCACTTGTTTCCCAATAATATCTCTTCCTATATAGAATTCCTTAACTTTTGGGTGACTGTAGTGAACTGAGTATGTATTAATAGGTCATCATCTGTAAAACAAGTGGGTAGTTAACCACGGATGGTTTCTACTAACCCCTAACAACTCTAAGGAGAAATCATTTGGCCACCTTCTTCACAAAAAAGGGGTGAGATGATTAAAGAAGAGCTGGTGTTAGTTGCTCAGTCATATCTGACTCTTTGCGACCCCATGGACTGGGGCCCACTGGGCTCCTCTGTCCATGGGATTCTCCAGACAAGAATACTGGAGTGGGTAGCCATTCCCTTCTCCAGGGGATCTTCCCGACCCAGGAATCGAACCTGAGCCACCAGGGAAGCCTACAGGCAAGCCAAGCGCCACCTAAGTTAACTCACGTGGACCAGTGGCTAGAGCTTCACTGCCACTCTCATTCCACTTCCATTGCCATGCCCCCTGGCTGGCAGGATATGTTCTTTTTAAAAATAAAATCGAGAGAAAAACAATCAACTATTTCCGTGAGTGACAAAGTGTCCAGGGGACTAAGAATAGGCTATGAGCTGTTAAGTGTTATGTGAGGTTAGACCTTGAAGGTGTTAAGGGCGGCACTGTATTATCTATATTTATCCTGAGATAAGGACTAAAGGAATATTTGTGTTGCATTAGGAAAGGGGAGTTTCCCAGATCTGGAAGAAGCTGAGGCACCTATATTTTCAAAGAGGGAAGGCTGCATGGAGGGACAACTATGTAAATGCGATTAGAGCCCTTTCTATGAGGACAGGCGCAATGGGAGCAGGGAGGGGCAGAGAGAGACAGAACAGGAAGAGAGAAGAAAAACAGAAGGTGGGCAAGTGGGAAGGAGGTTCCACCACGGAGGTGACCTTGACTGTCCTCACACCTGTGCCTGGGATGGTCTAGTTTATTTTCTGTCAACAGATATAGACAACCAGAACGTGATCACAAAGTTGTCCTCACTGTGCCTGGCCCACACAGCTCAGAGGGAACAATGATGTGATGCTAAAAAGCTTCTTCGTTACTGTCCAGTCGCTCAGTCCTCTCTGACTCTTTGTGACCCCATGAACTGCAGCACGCCAGACTCCCCTGTCCTTCACCATCTCCTGGAGCTTCCTCAAACTCATGTCCATTGAGTTGGACCCATGCTATTCTCAAGATGACTATAGTTTGGTTTCCATATTTGGCTTCCTTGTAAAAAGGAACTTTATTCCAAAGTAAAATTAGGGGGGAAAAAAGGTAGTTTCAAAGTATAGCAGGGAGCCACATATTTATTTCATTCTCAACAGTGAGAACTTCCTCTCAGTGAACTTCCCACTCTGCTTCATTTATTAAAAAGGCAAAAGGGACAAAGTCTAGCTGCACTATACAGGTACCACCAATTTTTTACATCAAAAATTTTACACTAAATGAAAAATGATCCTCAAAGGGAATTTTGTTCCTGTGCCCAAAGATAATAAAGAAAAATGAACCTTGGCTGAGTTGGTAAAGAATCTGCCTGCAATACAGGAGATCTGGGTTCAATCCCTGGGTTGGGAAGATCCCCTGGAGGAGGGCATAGCTACCCACCATAGTATTCTGGCCTGGAGAACCCCTTGGACAGAGGAGCCTGGCAGGCTACAGTCCACGGGGCCACAAAGAGTTGGACACGACTGAGCGGCTAACACTTTTTTCACTTTCTGCCAAAGCAAAACAAAACTCAGAAAAAGGTAAACAAATCAGAATCACCTTTTTTTTTCCCCCAACGCACTCATACTTTCCATAGATAGTGATTAGCTCCCAGCTCTCCCCCACCCTACGCTGCCAGGGAGAAGCAGTGTCAGAAGGACCTGCTCTGCTGATCATAACACAACATCTCTCTAAAGTGTGCAGAGAAAGGAGAGCCCGAGAACCACAGCCAGAAGAAAAGCCATCTCTCAAAAGGGCGTCAATCTACCACACATCTTGGGCTATCGAAACTGGAACACAAGATTGGAGGATGTCATCGTACATGGCTACAGCACAAAAAAACCCAAAAAGGAAACGTCAAGAACCATGAGATACTAATGTTCATGGTGGGTTATTAATTGCAAGAGAAAAGAAGAACAGAAGTGTGTGCTCAGTCGTGTCTGACTCTCTGCGGCCCTGTGGACTGTGGCCCATCAGGCTCTCCTGTCCAGGGGATTCTCCAGGCAAGAATACTGAAGTGGGTTGCCATGCCCTCCTCCAGGGGAATCTTCCTGATTCAGGGATCGAAACCACGTCTCTTGCATTGGCTAGTGAATTCTTTACCAACTGAACCAGCTGGGAAGCCTCTTATTAACAGAAGTAGGTTTAATTAGAGATACCCAAGTGATGATGACAGTGATTACTTTTGAGTGATAATCAAAAAGTAAAATTTTAGATGGATGCTCTAGGCTTACAGATCAGTCACTGAAGGAACAAAATAATGCTCCCTCAGCCAGCAGAGGGCGCCTATACTCAATAAATGAAAGCAGCGGCAATCCCATCAATGCAGCAATCCTGAGAATACATTAGAGTAAGTCAAAGTCTTCACTTACCATTTGTTAGTCTATCAAATAGAAAGATATCAAAATTCCAATTTCCAACTTTTTCCAGCATACACTGAAATGAAAACCAAACATTCCTACTGTAATTTAATCTCAGTAACTTTCTCTGTCTTTTGTAGATAGTCCATAAGGAAGCTAACAAAAACAGAAAGTGGTTGCTTAAGAAATGCTAATTATCACTCTCCTTAATCATGACCTTTCCAAACAACTCCAAAATATGTCCAAAAGGATAAACTCCATTTGAAAAACAAATAATGTTTTCTCAATTGATAAATGTATAGGTAAGGCTGGTGTTCCTTTTGACTTATTCTTATGCTCTCATGAATTGTCAAGAATTTCAATACCCATCACAGAAGTATAGTTCACACACTGCATGGTCTAGAAACTAGATTTTAAAAATCTAATAAAAGTTGTAATAGCTGAATATTTGCTACATTCCAGGTACTATTAAAAATGCTTTATTCTTGACACATTCTTACTATTCACACCAACACTATCATGTAGGCATTGTTTTCAACCCTCATTTATAGATGGGGAAAGAGGGAAAAAGTCATTAACTTGCTCAGCGAGAGAGTCACAGAGCTGGGTCTTAAGTCAGGCGATCCAACTCTGGAATTCAGGTACCAGACACCTGTAGTATATACTACACTTAAATTATTTATTTGTCTTCTTAAAACACATTCCCAATTTATTCATTAATATTCCTTAAATATCCTAATAAAATAGTCCATAGCATTTACTATGTAATTTTTAGGTTGATGGTTATTTCAGCCAAGCAAATAAGCCCCACAACAACCCTAAAAATCAAACAGATATTTTTACACCATGTCTTTGTAACCTGAAAATTTTGTGGACTTTATTTTCAAGAAAAAATTTGTATTTTGTACCCAAAAGTTCACTATCATATATACATATATGGCTAAACCAGCATAAGCAATACTAGGTATTACCAGTAGAGATGATAACAGTCCTAACAACCAATGACACACAGACCAATATTCTCATTTGAAAAAGCAGAGCTTGTGAACTTTTTTAAATTTAAAGAAAGTATGAGTACTTTTCCATTCATCTGTTTTATCAAACAGGGAAGCAAATGTTTTCACTTTAATGTAATCATAGGCTGAGTACCCTGGCCCCATCTACGCAAACCTACAACATCTAACCTGTAGGTGTTAAGTCAAAGAATACTTTTACAAATGTTAGAAATGTGAGATTATTAAAAAATCCTCATTTAGTAAAAAACAGCCTCAGCCAATTTCCACCTTCATTAAGATATTTCTTTTAAACTATATTAAAAAAACAATGCTCACAATCACCGAGTTTAAAAAAACATTTAAATCTTCCAAATATTTCACTCATACAAGAGATTATGAAAAGTGTGACTGAAAGTCATGAGATTACCTGTGCTGAGTTTACTTTTACACAACTGGAAGAGATCAACCAAGTCCCTTCTTAACTATAGTATAGAGAAATTACATCAGACAATCCATAATATTCCTACCAGCATTAGGATCCTTGTGACCTTAACAGTTTAATGTTCCACTGATATACTTGCTGTTATAATAAATGTTATAATGCTATAATACACAAAAACATTTTCCTTATTTTAGTTCCTTGCTCTGTAATAACCTAATCAGAAGATGAACAATTGCTCTAAAGGAAAAACCTATAATAAAAATTGAGTTCAACTGATTTCACATACCAAAAAAAGGCTATATAAAATCAGTACCATATGGGAGAAACAAGGCTTCGTTAAACTTATGTAAGAATCAATGTTTTCTTGAAGAAAGCTATACACACCTTGGCTTGTCCATTATAATCATCATCTAAAATGTTCAGAGAATTTGAAACAGTAGTACCACGAAAAAAGCGTGAAGATCTAAGATACCGCTGGAAACTTAGTAACCTTCTGATATTCCTTGCAGACACAGAAACTTCAATTTCAGATTGAGCTGAAATGAAAGGAGTAAAAAGGTGAGTAGAGTTAAGTCAAAACTGTACACAACCTATTAAGCGCCTTCTAGTTACATACAAATATTTCTTAAAATTGATCAACTGTCATGCCACATTTCTAGGAAAGAAGAGGTACTTTGTTTTATTTTCAATTAAACAGCTAAGAATGAAGGGGCAAATGGCCAATTTTATCAGCAGTTAGAAACATAATGAGGAGTGTGGTTGGATTAATCACCAATTTTTTCTTTTTTTTAACTTCTAAGAATGATCACCTCTCACTCTGTCGCTTCAATACAGTACAGAAACACTACAGAGCAGGAAGACAAAACCTAGTTTCAAATTATCCTTCACACTGAGAAACCAGGTCCCCAGTTGTGTATGAGACTTAGAACTCGAGCATCTCAAATCCTAACGAGGTATCATCTCAAATTTCTTTATGATAACTTTATTTAGAGGAAAAGAAGGCAGAATGGAGAATAATGTAGTCTGGATACTGACATGTCTTCTTTCCATGAGTGTAACCGTCATGTTTCCCTGCAGCGTGGGAAGGAACCAAAGTTTCTGGGGCACCAGACGAAATAACAGACTGTGGTTAAAAGCTATCTTGTAGAGAATAAAGTCTTCAAATTCTATAAACTAACTAAATTCAGCAAAATGTTCACAATATAAAACATGAAAATGAAGGCTAAGGATCAACAAGTCAGCCTCTCTCATCTTAACTTCCATTAACTCTCCAAAGGTCGAGTGACAGGCAATCAAACACATTCTCTAGTGTGTGTCCCATCACTAACTCTTCTATCAACTCTAATACCCAGTGTTTTCTCATCTATAAAATAATGGCAATGATATCTAATTCAAACAGTGTTGGATTAAATGAGATAAATATATACACAGGTCAGATATATAATAGGTTTCAAAGAAATGGTGCCAGTGAAGATGGTGATAAAATTGATGTTGATGCCGCTGCTTAAGAGGTAGGTATGCCTCTCAGTAATTATTCCAAGTTCCAAACCTGTTTCATGTTGCTCTAAATAAAAGTATTCATTGGTCTATCAGCATTTCAAAGTAAACTCAATCTCCTTATCCTCTAGGAAAAGGCCTCATTTTCCAGGTGCTGGCTCTCTCCAGACTCAACTCCGGTGACACCTTCCCTGGGACGCACACCTGGGCACCTACATGCACATTCCCCATCTAGGAGAGATGAGGGCACCTCCTCTGGGTTCTCAAGGCTACCTGGGCAGACACCAGTCAGACTGCTGAAAATGTACAAAATTACTCATTTCCCTGTCTGCTTCAACAAATTATGACCTCCAATACAGGCACAAACTACTTTTTCATCTTTGTATTTCAAAGCCTAATAATAGTGCCATGCAGGTATGCATAACATATACTGAATGAGTGAATGAATAACTGCATGTGTGTGCATGTGTTAAGTTGCTTCAATCGTGTCCAACTCTTTGTGACCCTATGGACTATAGCCCACCAAGCTCCTCTGTCCATGGGCTTCTCCAGGCAATAATACTGGAGTGGGCTGCTATGCCCTCCTTGAATAAGTGCATACTGTTTGTGAAATAACTGATGAATTCCGAGGTTCCCATACACTCATATAAGCCAGAAACAACACAGAGTTATGTGGTTTTTTCATTTTTCATCCCAGTGAATCTAAAATAAAGAGTATCTAGAACAATTGTGGAGTTATCTTTTGATCTTTATCAACATGACTTACATAAAAAGGACTGGAACCAAAATGGAAACACTATTAAATATCAAGTGATTATGTTTGAACTAGAATTAGTATGTTTGAGGAATGAGGTTATTAGTTTAAGTTCAGAAAATGTTCCATGTGCTTAAAAAAAAAAGTATCTCGTTTAGCCCTCTACAGTGTCAAAAAACGACTATTATTATCTTCCACTTTATACATGAAACACTGAATCTACAAGAGATTATATATAAGGTCACACAGCCAATACAGATCTGCTTACAAATCCTGTGTCCACAGTATTACTCACAAACTTCTTACTTCAAATCTACCATATGGTTTATTTTCCCACCATATGGTTTATTGATGGTTTATGATAAAATTTTGCATACACCATCATTCACAATTGCTCTTATTTAGATGAAAATATGTACAAAAAGAAAGACATAGGGGAAAAAGCTAACATGCAGAAATACAAGTATTTAACGTGAACCTTCTAATATTATTCCTAGAAAAGACTGGACCTGGAAGGGACAGAGTGGAATGACACGAACACATGGGGACCAGACGAGCTCTAATTAATACTAGTACTGCCATCTCTGTATTTACAAGGCACTTTACAGTTTTACAAGAGTACGTTCACACCTGTGATCCCATTTAGTAATTATAACAATCCTGTGAAGATGGCAAAGATTATCATCCCCATTTTACAAATATAACCCCAGAAACCAAAGTAGAAATGCTGTATAATTAACGCATTAGAGTCAATACATTTAAGAAAGCTTCTAAAAAATGCTGCAGAAGACACATATTCTATTGATTATGCAAAAGTAATCTAAAAGAGTTCAAGGTCATAGCATGACTTCATGAGCATTCCCTTCTGTTCAGTATCTTAAATCACACAGAGAAGGTAACAGTTTCTGGCAATCACTTTGCATCCAGACACTGATAGAAGGATCACTGCTCCCAAATTACACGTCCAAACTAACCCATCCTTGAAGTAAACTTGGGAGTCTCTTTGGGAGGATAATTACACAAGGTCCAAAAATTGAATGAGCGTCCTCTGAAGGGTTCAATCCACACTGTGCTAAGTGCATGCAACAACACGCTAGGATTTGCACAATCAATGTAAAGAGAGCTGGCACCGTCCACGAGTCAGGGCTCTGCTTTCCTCCTATTTTCTAGGTGACTTCTCTCAAGTCACAACTCCTTGATGTCTCACTTTCCTTAACTGGGGGAAAAAAAAACAGAAAACTAACCATAATTCATGTCTTTTTTTTCCTGCATAGCCCTGAAGTTGGGACTCATTATCAAGAATTCTGCTTTGACCACATTGAGCATGAATATTAGATATTAGCTCAAGAGGAAAAGCTCACTCATCATAGGAGCCCAATGCCTTCCAGCAAGACTGCTGCTGCTGCTAAGTCACTTCAGTCGTGTCCGACTCTGTGCAATCCCATAGACGGCAGCCCACCAGGCTCCCCCGTCCCTGGGATTCTCCAGGCAAGAACACTGGAGTGGGTTGCCATTTCCTTCTCCAATGCATGAAAGTGAAAAGTGAAAGTGAAGTCGCTCAGTTGTGTCCAACTCTTCGCGACCCCATGGACTGCAGCCCACCAGGCTCCTCCGTCCATGGGATTTTCCAGGCAAGAGGACTGGAGTGGGGTGCCACTGCCTTCTCCCACAAGTAACATTTACAACAGGGTAAGAACAAGACCTTTACTTAATGACAGAACCAGCTCTAACAATTACTGATTATTTCACATACAATCTAAGAAAGGCCAGAGTAGTACAAATGAAGTGGCAAATCATCCAGTGAAAAGAATTTTCTCCACCTAGTGGACAAGAAGCCTATACCTCAGATTACATTCTAGAAAGAACAGAAAATTCCATGAGACTTTGCAGAGATGGCAATGCAAACTAACTCAAAGTTTTGCCTGAGACTTAATGTAGGACCAGATTGGGAGATGGAGTGGTATTTTTTTTTTTCATTACGTTTTTTCAAATGCACTGCACTCACGTTTTAAAAATAAAAATCAAGGAGGGAAAGGAGGAGGGAGAAAAGAACACAGTGATAAATCCTTACCCCTATCCCATTCCCAATCCAATCAACTGCCAGACTCTCCCCTAAAATGATCATCTTTTATCTGGAAAGTTTTGTGGGTATGAGTCCTGAGTTTTTGGAGCAAACATGTGGACATACTGTTATATACTATGTTTCTACTTCTTTTACATAAATGGTAGCATATTGTAGTCCTGTTTTGCACCTTGTCTTTAAATTTTTCTTAGCATTCTTTCCCTATCAGGACACAGAGACCATCCTCATTCTGAGGCTGTAAAGTATTCCACCATATGGATGGACCATAATCTATTTATCCAATCCTCTACTGAAGGACATTGCTATAACTCCATAAATTAAAAAATACCTCTGTTTTACTAAGTATACTTATGTTTCTATGACTTGTTTTGTCTACTACCTTAAATGTAACCTTTTAATGTTGTGTTATTACATTCTATATCCCCTCTTCTTTCCCTTTTCCTCTTTCAATGTCTGTTAGTGGTCAGAGTGCTTTTCCTTCCCTTTTCATTCCAACCCCCATTTTCATTTTAGTTCAGCTCTGGAATTAAATATTCAGGTCCTTTTACTATGGCTTCCCCAGTTATCTTTGTCTTTGGGTTTCAACAATTTGGCTTTTTGTTTTCTTGTTTTTATCAGATTTTAGTTGCTTTACAATGTTGTGTTTAGTTTCTGCTACACAGCAAAGTGAATCAGTTATTTATACACATGTATCCCCTCTTTCTTAGATTTCCTTCCCATTTAGGGCACCACAGAATATTGAGTACAGTTTCCTGACCTATACAATAGGTTTTCATTAGTTACCTATTTTATACACAGTGTGTTAGTCATTCAGTCGTGTCCGACTCTTGGCGACCTCATGGACTGCAGCCCACCAGGCTCTTCTGTCCATGGAATTCTCCAGGCAAGAATACTAGAGTGGGGTGCCATTCCCTTCTCCAAGGGACCTTCCTGACCCAGGAAATGAACCCAGGTCTCCCACAATGCAGCCAGATTCTTTACTGAACCACCAGGGAAGCCCTTTATAGATAGTATCAATAGTGTGTGTGTGTGTGTGTGTGTGTGTGTGTACACACACATATATATATATATGTATATGTCAATCCCAAACTCCCAATTCATCCACCTACTTCCACCCTTCCATCTTCCACCCTTCCATCCATAACTTTGTTTTCTACATCTGTCTCTATTTCTGCTTTGCAAATAAATTCATCTGTACCATT